CTGTGAAAGGAATGGGGATAAAAATAGGGCCTCCTCAAATCATGGAACATGAGGATGTGACTCTAGCACAGGTATATCAGAATAGGGAATCTGAGGATTTTATTTCAAGAGAGGAGCTACAAATAGGGAATTATTTCTCTAGATTTCTACAGAACTCTTCAAACTCTCTCATCTCAAGCTCTGTCGAAGCATCTGAATTAGGAAGCCTTTGTGATTTGGAGATGCCAGAAGTATCAAGGGCCTTGGATATAAAAAAAACTTTGGGACAGATATTTTGCAGTCTGAAGAATACTTTATAGACCCTACTATGATACAAACTTCAACCCTTCCCTTGTACCTTCACAATCAACCCTCTGATAAGATAGCTAACATTGTAGATATCCCATATTTTGAGATCCCAGGAGTGGGTGTCCTATCTAAGAGGACTGATAAGAAGCAGGTGGAGAAGCTAGAGAATTCACTCCAGCGTCTATCCCAACATCCACTGCAAAGCTGGAGATCACCATCTAGGACCTTCCGGTCAGGATCAGGAACTCAAAGAGGCCTTAACTGGTCTGTCTTGAGCAGACAACAGAATGTCTGGGAGAATCACTCCTGGAGATAGCGACTACCCAGAAAATATCTCTCCAAGATGCTAGTGTTAGGGAATGTCTTGGGATCCACTATGGAAAGGAACCTTTGTTCTCAAACATCTTTAATGGAAAGAGCCACTGCAGATATCTGTCAATCTATTCAGAATTTATTTGGGGTTCCTGCGGAACTGATGGAACTTTCCAAGAGTCTGCTACAGAAGAGTCGAAGTATTATTTCTCAGACTTCAGTGTCCAAAAACTACATTCAGAGACACACTTCCTATCATGGTCACAAACAAAGAATAGCCTTAAGGATGTGGACACGTAGCTCCATGTCCTCCATAATACAGCAACACTCTGGGGCTAGCGCGAAAATAAAGAAAAGTTCGAAGCTTAGTGATATATCCCAGGAAGTCATTCAGCACATGCCTGTTTCATGTATAGAGGGCCAGCCTCCTGTCCCAGTAAATTTAGAGTCTTCCTTCAATATAGTTTTCACTAGGAAAGATTCTGTTCCAATGGAAGAGAGTGAGAAATCACAGAGTTCACAGACAAGGATTTTTGAGTCCCAACACTGTCTCAAGCCAAGTTATCTTCCCCAGGCCAAGACTGACTTGTCAGAACAGTTC